GTGCGTTGGCGTGTGTGTGCGTGTGTAGGTGGTGCGTGTGTGTGTGTGTGCGTGTGTCGTGTGTGTGTGTGTCGCGTCGCGTCGCGTCGTGTGTGTGTGTCGTGTGTGTGTGTGTGTGTGTGTGTGTGTGTGTGTGTGTGTGTGTGTGTGTGTGTGTGTGTGTGTGTGTGTGTGTGTGTGTGTGCGTGTGTGTGTGTTCATAATGTATATTATTTACTAATTTATTTGTGCAAATTTGGTATTGAAAAGATTATAGCTCATAACGACTATGAAATGATATTAATAAATATATAAACATAGTTAGAGACTTATCAGGAAACTTGCAATTAATAAAATGGCACTTAAACGAACGAAAAAGTACAGAACAGCCACAAGACGCGCATACCCTTTTTCGGTGTTCTGCAGATCACTCCAGCGACCTCGTTCACCCGGCAGTCGTGCAGCCTCCATCCGTTGTGCGGACATTCGACCAGCGACGACTCCGTACCTCTACAGTGCACGTTGTCCATAAGAAACTCGCCGTTACCTTGTCCGAATTGAGACTTGATGACGGCTTCCACGGCTCCACTACATGGACAGAGGTGAATATTGGTAGGGGTCGTGGGTATTGGTGTTAGTTAGCTGGTTGTTAATCGGTGGTTATTATGTAGAATGTGGGCTATGACTACATGTTGTAGGATGTGTTCAGGTTTTTATCTGGTTAGATCATATACCCAGTTAGAGAGTGTATAGTCCATAACAGCAGGCATAGATTAGCTAGTGCAGGGGGTTGTTAACCTGTGGTCCATGCACCCCTTTGGGGGTGAATGGGCTTCAGGGGGTCCGTGAACCAGGCGCATGCAAAATGTCGTGTTTATGTGCTTAAGTAAATTTTTTCTATGGAGGGGTCCGTAGCTTTCACCAGATTCTCAAAGGAGTCCATGATTCAAAAAGGTTAAGAACCACTGAGCTAGGGTTTCGTTTGTGGATAGAGTTAAGAATTATTTCGAAGAAATTATAAGAAATTAGAGTTAGGCCTATGGTTAGTAATAGGAATTGGGGCTACGGTTACGAATTTAGGGTTAGAAATTAGGATAACGGTTAGAATTACGATTAGTGTTAGGGTTAGAAATCAGTGTATGGTTAGCGTTTATTTTTTTAGTCATGATTTTTAGTCCCCAGTCGGTGATTTTTCATGCCTGATAGCATCACGTTTATCGCTACACAGTATATATATATATATATATATATATATATATATATATATATATATATATATAAAGAGAGAGGAGAAGGAGGAATTTGGAGCGAGTTCATATCATTATATTAATGTATTCATGATCATGTAATAGAAATGATGATGATAACCTTGTATAGCAATTACTAGACGATAGACTATATATATATATATATATATACTTGGACATATTATAGAACGCACCGCGGTGAAAGAAATGTTCAGAGATGTACTAGAAAACATCATTCTGCTCTATCTGCTCTATACGTTCGATTTTTTTGACAATAAAAAAATTTCTTCACACATCGCAGCGCATGTGCGCTATTAAATTTCAAAGTAAACGTTCGAGACTAATCTACGGGAGTTTGGGACTTAGCGAAGCAGCCTTGTGACTGCTCTCAGGATGCTGGTTTCAGCCAGCGATATTGTAAGATCAGTCAGCGCAAGGTCCGCCTTTATAGTGTCGCCGGCATGGCAACGTTATCAAGCAAAATAACATATCAACAGGAAAAACATGTCATCTAGAATAATTCGCGTAACTTGCCACGTTAACGAGCATCACAATACGAAAGCCCACATGACTCATTTAGAAATTCGAAACTCGAAATTCAAAAATCACATTTAAAAGTTGAAATTCGCAATTTTGAACTGAATTATTAGCAATTTCGAATTTCAAATGAGCCTTCGGTGCGTTCGCGTCCTAGCGACGTAAGCAGCGGGAGCATATGTACGTACGGCAGACAGACTCGTCGCTGTGGTCTCCACAGTCGTTGTGCGCGTCGCAGACTTCATCCTGACTGATGCATTTTCCGTTATTGCACACGTACATGCCCGTACAGTTCTCTACATGCAGAAACAGGTGGCAAAATTAACTATTCGCTTGCATATAAGTGTTAACGTGTTCTAGTAATTAACACACTAATTTTCCTTTACATCTATTACCCATAAAAGCAATAACAACGCAGACTGAGCAGGTACGATGATAAAGCAATCTAGCATCTAGACTCTAGAGTCTAGACCAAGAAACATGATCTGGATTTTGCATCTACGCGCGGAAGGGGGTGTATTTCTCCACGCGTGGAGGCATAATCAGCCTTTTACCTTTTTACTTTTTACCTTTTTCGAGTGGATGCTGCTATAGAAAACGTTTGCAAGAAAAATGCAAGCTCACTAAAACAAATTGTATCGTCAAATGTAATAATAATACTAATGAATTCATACCGTGGCTGAAAATGAATTCATCGTAGTAACTACTAAAGTAACCACTAAATACAAGTAAAACACATACGGTGATTAAACAATGAACACATTCGAAATGAAGTGGACCCAGTAAAACAATTTGTGTGTATTCCCAAACCCCGCAACGCTCGCTGTCATTTCGTCACTGAATATTTCGTAATATTTCGCATGGTAGCGCGAAATACCAGAAATAGACAAACAGAAACTGTCGCTGATGGAAAATACATACACACCAATATACTATATCATACATACCGCTACTGGCGATGAGTTCGTAGTAGTGAGAGCCAGGAGAGGGGACGAGTGTGACGTCATCGGCGGTAGTCGCGTTGCTGAGGCGACAGCGGTTCTCTGCCTCGGTGTGTGTGAACGACCGACAGACGAAATCTGTCGTCTCTGTGCAGAGCTTAGCACACTGCGACGGACAGTATATAATAATGTATATGTATATATCATATAGTACACATTAATGGAAGGCCACGAAACGGTGACACGACAAAACCCCACAGAATAGAAATATTCGTGAACGAAGGGTGCGACACTGCGAATCTCTCAAATAACATATCAAAGAGAAACTCCACGAGAGAGAGAGAACGAGAGAGGGGAGGGACGCTGAGGAAAGAGCGACAAGGGTAGATAAAGAGAGCGAGAAAGTGAGATCGAACGAGAAAGAGAGAGAACGTGTATTCGTACGTGAGTGGGTTAGTGCGTGCGTGCGCGCACGTGTGGGAGAGAGTTGGGGCTAGGAGCAATAGTGATGAGTTAGTAAAGCCAGAGTACAGAAATTAAAAAGCAGTGTCCTAGTATTGCAAATGCGAGCTTTGCATCTTTACGTTTCCTTGTCCAGTTACAGGGTAGCCTAAGTAATACACAAATACGGAATGGGTCTCATTCGGCGTTAAGGCCCCATACAGAAACAATTTGACGAGAAAGCTCGCACACGCATCCTTGTTTAGTAGTGCAGAGCTTTCTATCGTATCGGCATGTCGAACCCGTACCTGCTGCACAGACGCGTGCACATACGTCACGAGGTTATGATCCTCCATAATGTGGTCTTCTCTGCTCACGAAATCGCGAACGTAGTCGGCTGCAAGAGAACAAAGATATGTCAAGCCTGCTATATATGTGCGGATGGATGTGATATATATATAATATATATATATAAAGTGCACAAACAAGGCAACCCGGGTAGACCCATCCTATCCGCAAACAATAGCCCAACCGAAATGATCTCCGCCTTCGTGGACCACCACATCAATACCTTGGTACGCAACATACCCTCGTACATTAGGGACACTGTAGACTTCCTATCCTTCATTAATAACTTCCCACCACTACCACCCGAGGCACTTATCTGTACACTGGACGTTAGCTCACTCTACACTAACATCCCCCACGACGAAGGAATACAAGCGCTGCGCCAAGCCCTAGACACACGACCGACACCGCAGAAACCTTCCACAAAATTCCTAGCAGACATAGCAGAACTGACTCTGACCAAGAACAACTTTCAGTTCAACAAGCACCACTACTTACAAATACAAGGCACAGCTATGGGCTCCAAAATGGCACCGTCTTATGCCAACCTCTTCATGGACAATCTAGAACGCAAGTTTCTATCATCCGCAACACACCAACCGCTCATCTGGAAGAGATATATTGACGATATCTTCGTTATCTGGACCCATGGCACCTATGCCTGGGACTCTTTTGTCACAAACCTCAATAGATTCCATCCTACCATCAAATTCACGGAATCTCACAGCTCGCTATGCCTCCCCTTTCTAGACGTACGGGTAATCATCGACAAGGGGTCCCTACACACAGACGTATACTGTAAACCCACAGACTGCCACCCATACCTCAGGACAGATTCTGCTCACCCAAAGGCACTCATAGACAACATCCCCTACGGGCAATTCCTCCGCCTAAAAAGGATCTGCTCAAACAACGCGCGTCGCGACACGCGCTGCCAGGAGTTCAAGCGCCTGTTCCTAA